CCCCCCCCCCCAACTAACCAGGTTATTCTTCCGGAGGGCGCCCACAACATAGTTGCGCTACCCCCCTTCGAGGGCGTTTCGGAGGCGCGAACAGAGCGTTTCACCTTCCTCGACACCACAGGCTCCGGGAGGCCTGTGGTGATCATGAAGATGAAGAACGTCGTAAAGGAGCACAACGTCATGTTGAAGGTGAGACGCGTTGCTGTGCCACGCTACCCGCGATGTTGTGGATGTTCAGTGAGAGAGAGAGCGCGGTCGCGGAGAAGGCATTTCTTCTGTTTACCACACGCCGCGTAACTATGTTGCACAGTCATTACAAAGGCCTTGTTTGGAAGGGATGGATATGGTATGTGTTGTACTGGTTCACGGGCGACTTAAGGTGTGTCATGCTCGCGATGGATGTTGTATATGTGGTGTTCGTGAAGGGGCGACTTGAGGTTTTGTCATGCTCACGATGATCGGGAGTTTGGTCAGTCAGCACAAGAAAGAAAAGTGTATAGATGGGGTGTATAGCGTTTCTGATGCGCGTGCGAGTTTTCACGAGAATAATGCGGACGCCAGACCCAGCCTAGATTGTAGCAGATTTGGCAGGCTCCGTTCCCGCGTCTTAAAAAAACCTGTGGTTCGCTGGGCATGGTGATCTCGAAACACATACTACTGTATACTCCTGTAGCCAGCGCATGATGGTACCCAGGCATGACAAAAGTTCCGCCCGACCGTGTCCTCTGGTCCACCTCAAAAGGGATCCGTAGCAGTGGTCAACTGATTTCGGGTATGCCAAGAATGAGCACCCCTCCCTCCGCCCCCACCGCCCGATCAACAAGGTGACCTACGACTTCAACCAAGCAAGAATGATGATGGAACCTCTTCTGCTCGCCGGCTTCTTTTTGGCATGCTTCCTGGCAGCAATGGCGGCGGGTCGTGTTGACATGCGCATACGCAGGGGGGGAGCAGACGCAACACCAAGAAAGGGATAGAGGCCTAGAACAAACCATTTGACGGCGTTGGTGTGAGTGTTGGTTGAGTCAAGCGAAGGCTTTATCAGCCGTGTCTCTGGAGGGTGGTTTCCACAGGAAGCGCCGACGGCGAACGTGGTGTGCGAGCATACTTGCGCTGCTGTTTGTATATGGTCAGCGATATGACAGCAAAGAACGGGGTTCGAGCTGCCCAAGTAAAGGTTCGTAGCGGGTGCTGTTGTCGTTGTCGGATGGGATCGCGGTGTCCGGCTGGTTGTCTCTTGTGTGCTTTCGTTGTTGTGGGGTGTTGGACGAATCCCCTGCGATACGGTGGCAGCCCAATACATCTGATGTCCGCCGCTATGCCTAACGTCAACCATGTGATCGGTGATCCTTTTCGGCTGGCAGGCACGGTGGGTCTTTGGTTCTAGAAGAACAGTTCCGTTCATGTTGTGGTGGAAATGTAATATTCCTGCTCGATCACAGTACAACCCACCTTTTTCAGACCTTGCTCAAGTTGATCGCACGCACGGTGAGAACGATATGGATGACGTGCTTTGTACCGTTCAGGGGTCGTCGTGACGTGCTCACGCCACACGAACGGACCCCTCGGGACGAAGCACAGCCAGAAGAGCAATCTAATAAGTATTTTATTTGTAGTCATGTTGGTGAAGGCAGAGCACCCGCGGTTTCTCAAGTGGCCATCTGTCCTCTACTTTCTATTGGTGAAAACATGACTAATTATTAAATAGGACATCCGAACATTCCCGCATTGAAAGTGGAGGCATGCACCACAGAGGAAGCCGCACTTGTAGAGCTGACAGCAGTAGTGTAGATAAAGCGACGGATAACATACGTGAGACGCTTGCCGTCCAAACTGCCGGTCTCGAGACGCAATGTTCCACTTGAGGATTTTCGATGCTGTTGTTGGCCCCCCCCTCGTGTTTCGCGCACATACGAAAACGAAATCGTTCGCTCTTGCCATGTATCTGCAACATAAAGCCCATGTATGTGATTCCGAGAAGCAGGCGATACGCCACTTCTAGGTCTCGTTCAGCCCGAGGAGAAATCCTGTTCCTTGCGTGACGGTTTTAAGTCTTGTGAGCTCGGGAAAATCCTCTTGTGTTTTTTTATCTGATATTTTTGGAGATTTTCGGTATTGACTGGTGCCCAGCAAAGATGTGGCCTAAAACGAAACGAAACTCGGAAAAAACGAACGACCCCGAAACCATTTCGACACATTTACTCGTTGTTGTTGGTGTTCGAACCATGACGGGCATTTAGCGACGTACAGCAGAAGACACAACATCGAACGCAAACAAATTGTGCTGATAACTCCATCACATGTTAACCCAAACCAATATTCAGCGGTGGTTGAGACATGAAAAGTTTGTCATGCCGTCAGATGGTGCTGGTCTACGGGAGTCGGGAATCAAGCAACGGATAGTCTTTCTGTAAGGTTATGTTTGCTTTGAAAAAAAGCAAGAATATTGAATAATTCCTTGTAGAGCAAAAGAACATATCAATGCTGCCTCCAACCGGGATCGAACCAGTGACCTTGGCAACTTCAGTGCCACGCTCTCCCAGCTGAGCTATAGAGGCTCACATGACCCAGTGTAAATTAAATTGTATTTCAATACAACAAACGTGAGTCTCGCTCGAGCTCCCATTAACCGACCACTCTTTACTGAGACTTTCCCACGTTGATGAGTACAGGGAGAGGTCTTGAGATCTTAGACCAAAGACAACGTATGTTGCAGTTGAGTTGAGCTCAGAGAAAGGACCACCGAAGCGCAGCCAGAAACGGGAGCAACACATTATGACAGTCCCTGCTGCTCTCACCTACGGCCACTCAGTCAGTCGAGCGACTTCGTCCGCCAACCTGTGGTGTCAAACCTCTCTTGGATTCGTGCCTCTCGCATTCTATCAGGCATCACCACCATGATCCGAGCGCTGACGGGTATTATGTGGGTAGACAAACAACTCGGTCGCTCCGCTATGTGCACCACTGCTGGGCGCCGAGAGCGGGTAGGCCGAGGCAGCGAACGTACGTGTGCGTACTCACACAGCTTGGTAGTTGCGGCTGAGAGAGATATGTATGGTGTGGTGGATGCAGTTTTGGATGGTTCACAACAGCATTCATATCCATATCACAAGGAAAAGGTAACAGGGATGTGAAGCCTCTATAGCTCAGCTGGGAGAGCGTGGCACTGAAGTTGCCAAGGTCACTGGTTCGATCCCGGTTGGAGGCAAAACTACTTTTTATTTTTGGTCATAATGCAGCGGGACTGCTCGAAACAAATTATTTTATCGAAACGCGTCCCACCGTTTTCCGGGGTTTGTCTCTTCCATCCCCGCGTGTGGCAACGAATATACCCACACCCACCTGCACCCATCGGTCTCTCGGTCACTTGTCGTGAATTCATGCATGCCTCCATCTCTAGGATAGGTTGGCGAGGCCGTTGTCTCGGCATGCCGCCAGCCGTCCGGATGCTGGCACAAGAGCAGGCGCTGTTTTTTCGACCCTTCAAATCAGGAAGAGGAGGACTATCATCTGTGCGGGTGGAAGCAGCAGCACAACACCTTTGCCGAACACTCGGTTACATCCAAACGAATCCTCGCGCCGAACTTTTCCGAAAGTCATCAGGCAAGACAGACGTCGCATCGGAAGTGAGTAAGCGCCGGGCGAGTTGTCGAAACAGAAGTCCGACAATTGCTGCTGCAGGGTACGGTGTGCGTCGGCTTCATCATCACCATTGCTGCTGTCGACGAGGACTGAATCCACACGGTATGGCATTATCATCACTGCCCCTGTCCCGGTTCAGGCGAGGCACTCGCGGGTGAGGTCTTGAACTGTCCACACTGAGCCGTTGTAAGGTTTTAGGCCACAAAAATTGTGCAGTTGTATCTTGAATTCGGCCGTGCGGGTGCAAGGCGTGCATGCTGAAGACTTCGGGGCAGTGTAGGTATGCAAAGCACCGCTGCACCCTCCACTGCTGTATGTAGACGATAGCAACACAACGATGTTTGAGGATTTCAATTAGAGCGAGGAACAGCATGCCTCAAACTACATATAGCACTAGTACCTGCAGTGCCTGTTTGAAATCCAAAAATGTATTGTAGATTCAACAGTAATTGAACCAGCAAACTATCGATCGACACTGCCCTGCGTTGCCTGTGAAGGTAACATTTAATTTCACACATGACTTAAATGTATCTACCTGTGCTGATGCTTTTGTACTTTGCACCAGCTGGTATCACTGGACACTCAAAAATAAGCGCAGGTTCCAGCCGGTTTCCCTCCACCCACTGAAAAGACTTCAGCACATCCCTCTCGACGGTATATATATCTCGAATGTCGAACGGGTAGGTGTATTTTTTCAGAAAAGAGAACGAGGGTGTGGGGCGGTGGCAAGAAGCTCGTGCAGTGTTTTCACTTAGTTTTATCAAGCGCGAGGACAATGCCACAATCTGCTTTACCACTGTACTTGCACTTTCTCCATCGATGCCATGCTGGCCGTATGTACTGCAAGCCCGGGCGTGTGCCCCACAGCAGTGTACTAAAGCACAGCAACCCTAGCGAAAGCTAGCAGCTACCATCTTCCAGTTTTTGCCAGGAACGGAAGATCAAACACTTTCAACTCCCTATCCCCCTACCACTTTTTCCCTCAAGACCCTGTTCCAACGACATCGTCTGTTTCCCAGTCGACGCATACCATCACCACTGCGACTTTAGGATGACCGCTTCTTCTGGTCCTATCCATGGCAAGTATTGCCGTCACAGAATGTCATTCTAATACGTACATGCTATCGTGTGGTGCTGTTGTACCAGACACGCCGGCGAGCGCTACACGTCCTCTGTCGCCACTGATGGGCAAAGGAAGGAATACACTTCCGGTGTCCGCAAGGACGTCACAGCGCAGTCGTCACCGCCACCACCATCTCCATCGGCCTCACTGCAAGCGATTCTTGGAATATCGGACGCACAGGCCGAGATCATAAGGAGCTCGGGACAAACCACCAAGACAGGTTTCGATCACCTCATTTCCGTCAGCGATGGGGGCGCCAGGCCAGGTGCTAGCGTAAGCTTTACCCAGTCGTGGCCGCCCCCTTCTTCCTGTTTCCCCAGATTTCTGCTCCACGAACTCCACGCGGCTCCGGAAGATGTGAAGTCTCTCGTGCTTCGAAGGCCCGTCGTTCTCGGTTGGTCAGCGGTGGCTGCGGGCAAGGTTTCGCGATGGCTCCAGGATTGTTTGGGGATGAAGCAATCCGAGGTTGCGCGGTTGCTTCTGAGGCACCCAGAAACGGGAACAAAAAGCGTCGAGAATACCGTGAAACCCAAGGTGGAGTGGCTACGCACAAACCTCAACATTAACGCAGCGGACGACGGTGGTGTGGTCAAACTGCTCTTACATGCACCGCCGATCTTGAATCTGAGCGTTGAGAGGTCTTTGGATCCTATGCTGCGGTGGCTGGAGGAACGTTTGGGGGTCTCGAGTGACGAGGCGGCCAAGATCGCTCGCGAGAATCCGACCCTCTTCTGGCTCAGCGTGGACAACAACCTCGAGCCCACTCTGAGGTGGCTGCTTAAGCGGCTGGACATCAAGGACGAGGGAATCGTCCTCGCGATGGTAGCAGCCGCTCCGAAGATCCTCTCGTTGAACACCCGCACCGGGATAGAGCCCAAGCTGGCTTGGCTGAGGGATAGCCTGGGCTTGAATCCCCAGGACGTCTGCGAGATCATCCGCAGGGAGCCGACCATCCTCTACAAGAGCGTCGACGACAACTTGAAACCAAAGCTGGCCTGGTTAAAGAAGAACCTAGATCTCGACGATCAGGCGGCTCGGGAGATGTTTGTTGCCTTCCCAAGGATGTTAGGGTCGAGTCTCGCCGAGAACCTTAAGCTCAAGATCCCGTGGCTGCAGAAGTCGCTTGGTTTAGACTCCGGAGAGGCGGTAGCCTTAGTAAAGCGAGCCCCAGTGCTTCTGCAGTACAGCATCGAGGAGAACCTAGAACCGACGGTTTCATTTTTTCGGGCGGAGATGGGCGCCTCCATGGAGGAGCTAAGAGGTTCAGTGCAGCGGAACCCCAAGATTCTGGCTTACAGCTTGGACGGGCGGCTTCGACCCCGCGTGGCGGCCATGCGAACAAGAGGGATCCAGCCAATTTTTTCGAAACACCTGAACCCCGTTATCCGTTGGCCCGACTCCAAGTTCCAAGGATTTTTAGAAGGCTTCGGGAGTTGATCTCGTGCCCAGAGAAGGGACATGTAGATCCTATTTTTCACTACCATGCCTTGAGCTGTGCTCTGTGCATTTATTACCGAAATCCCCTTCCACATGTATCAGGAAGAGTTCAAACCGTCCTACATCTTTGTTTTGCTCAAAATACCAACAGTTGAAATTTCGTGGTTACGTGTCCCCGCGAGGAAGGGCGGGCATTGCTTGGGTCAGGGTGTGTTTGAGAACTATCAAAGAGTGTTAAAGACGTCTGTACGGATGTTCGAGGGTGCTGAGCAGACATCTGGACGGTTTGTAGTTTGACAGTCGACAACAACTACACCATCGTTCCATAGGCAGTGCCGGATATCCTCTGAAAAACATATTATTCGTCATTTGTCGGGTTGTCCCAGGTGGAGAGTAGGTACATTTTTTTAGTGCATGCCTAGTTGACTTCTAAGCATGTGGCTGAAGTAGGGGGCCTTTTGTAACCTCCTGCAACATGAACCTGACACTGCTGTGGTGCTGAAAGTCGCAGTTTGGATTATCGGCACTTCCAGCAATGGTGTTATGCCCGCGTCCGGCTCTATAGCGACCCCGGCGCACGTTGCAAGACCTCCTGCTGATGTCAGTGCAATCCACGGTGTGAGGGACACGAGCTGAAGGTGTGTCCGTTGCGAACGAGACGTATATTGACAAGCAACCCTTTTCCCCAGAGACAGGGTTGCCACCGTTTAGTTCCGCGCCCCACTCAAAGTCAAGACGAGTAGCGAGAAGGGTGTGCACGGGTGCAAGTGTCTACACGCCGTAAAATCGCTGAAATTCTAGCTTGTTCGCACGACGGCGGTCCATCGTAAATGGTACCTTCGATTTCTTGTATTTTCAACATATCTCGCTCTTCAGCACTTATGTACAATTTCCAACGAACTTCTCCGTAAACGGAAGCACGCCCCGACAATATTTCCACATCTGAACCTTTTGACGAAGAGTGAACCAACAGAAAAACCTGCCTGTCAGACACAGCACACCTACAAAATAGAGCGCTACACACCTTGCGTGTGCCGTGAACAAAGAGTTCAAAATTGGCCGACGAGACAACTTCACGTTGGCATCTCAGACGACAGAAATATAGTTACTCGCGATCACCCCGATTTCGGGCTCCGGCATTCTCAGCATTTGCGCCCTTGCTGGAATTTGCGATTTTCGTCCTATCCGCGAGCGCACTTCTTTCGGTGAGGTACTGGTCATACTCATCGATCGAGGCGCGCTCCTCGTCTAAAAAGCTGTCCACCTGATGAGCCAACAACACAGCGAAAGAGGAGCAAAAGGCACAATGGAAACGTGAATGATACATCATGGAGAGCAGCTGATTCACGCACTTGACGTGTTGGACAGCCCCGCGTGGAAGCGAAAGGGATCAATTATGTTCACAAGTATTGGGGGTCGAAACCTGCAGGTACTCTCCAGCCCACACACTAGGGTTAGGGATTGAATTTGAGACAGGGCACACATCAGCAACGGCCGGGAGCGGGGATGCAAACACAGTGCACCGATTGATCGAGCTCATTGAAGCGCAGCTACCACATCCATGCTCGAAAGTAAGAGGCTAGACCCCTGCAATCACCACCAAACCTGTAGCTGTACGTCGAGGCCTACGAGGAATGACACGAACGCGGGAAATTGGCGATTCGAGGCCAGGGTAGCTAGGAAGATTGAGGGTTCGGCGATGCTGTGGCATCTCGAGGACATCAATCGAAAGAGCCGTTTCTAGATCCGATTCGTGTCGAAACTGTGGGAGGAAGCAAAAAGGTGCATCCGTACGGTTAGATGTATTCTTCGCAGCCAGCTTGAATCCAGACGCTGAGGCACGTGTGCGAGCGTTCCGTTGCATGCACCAGTAAAAGCAAGTAACCTCCACTTACCGCTCCCCGCAGGCCTGGATGTGTGCAGTAGTGGCAGCTGTTCACGATGGCCGGGTCGAAGCCTCTAAGGAACTTGAAATCGCCACCGCCTGCTCCCGGCTCCATTACATCGAGTCCATTCTCAATGCAGAACTGGCCACACATGTAAAATATCAAAGATGACGGTAGGGGGATAGGAGTGTCGCGCTTGATTCAATACTCCGAGCATGTGCGGGCGCCTGCGAGATACAGGTACCCATCTTTCGTGCAAACTCCCAGTCGCTGCCGGCCGGCTCAGGCCCCACCACAGCCAAGTTCCTCCTCCACTATAGGAGCCATGATGAGCTACTGATGTGTTGAAACACAGCGATTAAGCCAGCGGAGGCATGAGCGAGAAGGATTTTATGGCTTCCAGCGCATCAATAAGGCCAGTTGAAGCGCAACAAGGCACTGTCTAGCCGCAGTAAAACACTGGGAAGCTTTGCAACAGAAGGTAAACGTTCACCTCGATCGCCTTGTAGTCTGTTGACCGGCGGGCAGTACCGAAATCGTACGAGAAAGCCCGATTCCGGCAGCAGCAACCGGCAGGAGCAGCAGCGTCAACAGCAAGCAGCCGCGTCAATTGGCAGGTCAGGACAAACACTCGTTGAGCAGCCATTTGCAGCAGCGCTACTGCTGTCACCGTCTAACCAGACATTAAAACGGATGGTTGCCTAAAGCAAGGACACCGTTCGCAAAGGAACGAGCGTACATCACCAACAACGAGAACGAGATGAAACCTCTAGGTGTGTCATGAAAGCCGGGAAAGCGCACATCACGATTTACCTGCCTTTCTGAGAAAAACACGCGCGTGGCGGGCAGGAAACACAAAACAAAAACACCCTCGCGAAAGGTTTCCAGTACATGAAACACAGAGTGTCTGGAATCGTTTTCTTCTTCCTGACGCGCAGCCAGATTAGGTTTTTCGAACGTTGTGGGAACTGCAGAGAACCCGGGTTACGCTTGACCCCCCCAAAAAAAACTAAAGAGAACTTTCCTGCCCTGGTGTGCCGCAGGTACCTACTTACAGCAAGCCTCGAAGTGCAGGTTCTTGACTGTCTCGAAAGCTCCCCAGTAGCGCCCGTAGAACCGACCGGCCTTAACGACGTTGAATGTCCCAGCTACAACCTGTGCACATAATACGTGATACGTGTACCTATTGAGAGTGATCAAGAGAGTAGGACACGAAAGTCTGCCACAACTCCAACTATTACAACAACGACCTGGCAAGACGTGTGTTCTGGTCACGGAGCAGCGAAATGATACCAGGTAGTGGCACATCCCGTTGGTTATCAAATTATCGTTACCAAACTGCCACATCCCCTCACCTTCCCGTTCTTTTCAGCAAGGATAAGAACGATGTTCCTCTTGAAGCACTTCGCTAGCTCCTTGAACAAGGCGATGTTCAGGTACAGCCGCCCGTACATCATCTGCCCAAGACCACCAAGACGCGAGAGGCATGTTCGCAAGCCAAAATTGTTCGGACGGCACGCACACACGTTCGAGCGTGCCAAAAGGAATAATCGTGAACTATGCAGAACCCGCGACAGCGAGACAGGGGCAACAGGTAAAGTAACGCCGCAAACATGATCACCGAAGTCGCTATCCATGGGCTGCCTACGATGGGTCGCCCATGGTGGCTGAGCCGCAAGATTAAAAAAACCTCAACATACAGCGTCACGCCCTTCTATATCTGAATGTGTGGGCGATGCAGAGCAAACACAAAATATCCCAATTTCTGTCCCGGGAAAATGTGTAGATTGGAACAACAGACTGTTGATCTCCAATGATTTGAGCGGAACCCAAGTATTCGTCGGAAAGTCCCCGCCGAGAGAATTCAAATGGGCCTGTCCAAGGTGTGGGGAACGTGCTGAGCAAATGTTTGTGGAAAATGCGTACATCCATGAATTCGTACATGGTCAAAACCAACTGCTTGGATAGGCTCGGGCATTTCATGTACGGGACACTTTCGCACGCCCGGTACTATTTGCGCATCCGTAACTCCATCACACCTGAAAAAAAACGACGAAAATAGTCTCCCTTCCGAATATCTATCCGTAACTTTGCATATACAAAAGTGAAATTTGATCATCCTCCTCTGCTGGAGCAAGCTTCATACATTGCCTACATTATCGCAGTCTATGCAAGTAGGAATTTCATATAGCAGGTGTATTCCCTGGATATACTCCTGTCGTATTTCCCACGATTACAGCAGTAATGGGTTCAACTCAGTTTTCCGCGGGTCGGAATCATGTCAGCCTTGCTCCTGTCAGAACAGTTGACAGGATCCGCACTTCAAAGCAGGTTTTCCAAGTAAGCAAACATACTGAATAAAGTGTAGAATCGGCTAATTGGCGTTGGGGTTAGGTTTAGGGCTAGGACCTGCGTGGTCCCTCCTTATTTTTCTTTTGTAACAAGCCTATATTGTTTTCGTCGGCAGTCCAACAGGATTCGACAAACCTTGTCGATGGTCGACTTATAGATGAAGAACGCAGTTTCCATCATGCTGTCAGTGATGTCATCCCCCTGGTAAGCGGTTACGCTGACTCCCGCATCTTCGTAGACGCTCCGTCGCTCTCGTCGAATCTGGCAGCGGGGAGGACACAGCATATTGACATACATCCGTGGGCACACACAACGATGTCCATACGCAGCAGTGAGCACGACATGAAGTCCAGGTTAGCGTACCTGAGCGTTGCGCATGGGTTCTATTGCCTGTTCGAACACGAAGAACAGAGAGTAGTGCCGGGAATGCGTCGTTGGGAATAAAATAGAGACTGGCATCGTACAAGAATCATGCAACACGAGGGGCCAGCCAAGGAAAGGGAAGGGTCTGACCTACGGCGCCGTGCTACGAACCCGAACACGCGTCTGCCACATCTCAGAGGATACCGAGGAGGTCTATCAAATGACAGACAACCTCTAATTGCCGAACACGTCGCAATCCAGGGTTAGCACCAACTTGAGCAGGACCGCATGCGCCATCATAGTGGCAAAATAAAAAATGAGTCGGGAAAGTATCGAAGGTGCAACTTCGAGTACAAATCTCCTGCAGACATGCGCGGTTCAATTACACCCCATGGCAATGTGTGTTTTGCATGAGGCTACCTTCGATACAGCTGAGAACCACTTTGGAGATTTCCCCGATAGATACTCGTTCGAACTTGTCGTTCTCTCTCTCTATCCCGCCAGCATATACCCGACTGGCGTAATACCACTGTCATAAGAGGCACGGCGACGAAAATGTACCACAGAATGAGCTTGCCTTAATTCTCCGCTTGGATGCGAAATTCCCAAGATAGCTGTCAAAATCGGCGTATTTCTTCCGACTTGTGCCGTTGCCCCCTTCTTGTGCCGCAGCCATAGTCTGCTGAGCTACCTCAGGCTGGGTTGCAGGTGACGGGCCCAGCACCACCGTGGATGCCGCGGGCGTCATTTTTTCGGCCACACCACCGTTGCTGTCGCCATTTTTGAAGTTGTCATCGGACTTTCGGTCCTGATTTCTCCAGTGATACTGAAGACCTTTCCGATGCGAGAACCCGGAGCTTGTGAATGCCTCTACCTGAAACGACCAAGCTCAGACAGTTGCAACGCAAACAAAACATTTACACATGTAGATGTGGCCAACAGGCAAATGTCAATTGCTGTCATTTCACAACCAATGTTTCTGACCCTTTCACGCAAACGCTTGATCTACGCGCGCAGAATGTTTTCCAATGCTCATCAGATTCTCATTGGCCGGGTACGTCTCTCACTATTGGTATGTCACACCAAACCGCTATCATAGAAGCATGACCTGAGGCGCGAAAGTAATGACCACCATTATACACGCGAACACGATATTGCCGTCACCTACGGTAGATGACGCTGTGTCATCTAAGGGAGCCTACGCTTGATTTAATAGGGCAGCGAGCATACAGTAGATGAGCTCCTCGAATCTCGCCATGTTCAATAATTTACTCAATTTACGCGTCAACCGGGAAAGATATAAGTAACACGTGGCAACTTGTCATCGCCGCCATCGCTCTTGAGTGAGACTGGTGCTACTTCCAGTGCGGCGTACGCGCCATGCCAGCGTAAAACATACGAAAGAAGCACCAACAACGACCAAGAACTTGGAAAACTCACCGTCTACCAAACGTTTCCGAAGGCGGGAGACCTCCTTCTGCAAACGAACGCCTTACACAGTTGTACCCCACGACGCGACTACATCAGGAAGCACAATATTTTGCTTTGGGGCTCCAGCATCTAGACTATGAAAACTGGTGTCATCGAGTGCTGGGAAATACGGTTTTTGCGTTCACCTCTTCCTCAGTGCAGAAATTGACATGCACAGAGCTGATGTTGTTGTCGTGCGCCAGCTTTCTGCAGCACACGCGCCGCACACACACATACATGAGCGAACGGGGAAGGTGACCTGGACGCCAAGCATGATGGATGGAGACAACACATTTCAACACAAACACATTTTTCGCTTCAATCGCCTCAAGCCTTGAGTTCAAAAGTAAGGTGTGGAACCGTCCCTTCTCGCACGCCCTTTTCTCAGTCATAATGGATCTTGCCGCAACCCAATGTATAACCTGTCCCAGCCAAAGCTTGCCATTTTCCGCCGGGTATCCTCGGCTAACCAAACCTTCCTCTTCAAAGCACAGTATGTCACCATTGCCTCACAACCAAAATAAGAGAAAACGCAACCTTTTGACAACACGGAGTTCCTGGTGCACTCGTCACGACTAACGACGGCTTGGGCGTTTCGATGAAAATCTCTCAACTTGTTTGCTACCGCTACCTCCTCCGGTTCTCCGAATTGGTCCAGGAATCGAGATGACCGCTCAAATATGGTCGGCATCCCAACACCTGGAACAAACGAATTGGGCTCATCACACCGAAGGCGCGTTGAACATGGAGAGGCACGGGGAAACATTCTCGTCGATATCTCGTCACCTTAAGAACATGGCGATCGTTTTTCGGACCACCTTCCGCGTCTTCTCATTCAAACAAGGGTCGATCAAGACCCTGGCACCGGCGGCGGGTGTGAAGGGCACCCCGACCAAAAGCTTCGGATAGTACGGCAAGCCCGCCCGCTGGGATGCATCCGCCCAGCTCTGGGACGAAAAAATTGTCAGAGGGGGGGGAGGTTCAGTCGGACGCATAAGCTTGCATCCGAACAGACTCCATATCCCGCAAAGTCAGACAGAGCACGTCACGTGTGTCGTTGCCAATAAAGGCAGGGGAGGGCGTAGGGGGTACCAATCTTTGGCGTACATTCGTGTGAAGATCGACGTAAAGGGTGGGCATGAAACAAATCATCGGTCTGGGAAGGCCAATGAAGCGGTGCAGGCATTGGGCATCGTAATTCAAGGGAAGCAGTATCAAAACCAATCCCTGCTTAGCGCCGGGAGTTCCGGCAAACAACTACGCTCGGGACACTGTGGCAAACCAAGTTAGAAGTAGCGTTCGAGTATGTGGAGTAGCAGAGCCAAGGAACAAACGGGACACAACGAAAATTCACGCTTGACCCAAGGCCGCGACGCCATAATAACTATTAGCTCACATACTTCAACAGACGAAACCGCGACGCCGAGAACGATCTCGAGGGTATCGGCACAATACTCACAGCAGCGGGTGTCGAGGCGAGGAACATTTTACCTGATCGAAGATAAACTCTCCCATCGAGTGGTACTTGACATACAATGGGACGGCTGCTATCAGTGCGGAGGACCCCTCCGATGCTGTGACCGCCAAGTGCTGCGGTTGCCATCCTGGACAGGGCAGGGAAACGCGACGCGGGCACGAGACCGGCGCGTGACAGCTCAAAGTAATTTCTCACGGCGTACCCGCCAGTCGACCCCAATGTCTCAAACTATCGAGTACAAGTGATATCGGGCGGGACAGCTGCGAAACACATGAAACGTCTGACACGCCAAGGCGAACGGAGCACGAAAAAATACCTGAGGCACATCGAATTGGCGCACAAGGGAAGAACGAATCGCGAGGCGGTTGTGGCGATGTGCGTGTGCCTAGAGAACCAACTGAAACATGAGTAGAGAGGGCAACATAAGGTGCACAGCTGGATCGGTCGGTGCACAACCAGACATATTTCCTCCTCCTTTGGAAAATTTAATGTCGCGGAGGTGGGCCCTCCGTCCGTCTCTCAACTTCGGCATCCGCATCGATCGTCGAAGGGCCCCCACAGAGTTTAGCCAAAGCAATCCTATGTCACGGGGGTAATCGTGCCTAGAGGATCCAACCCTGGAGGTACTGCAGCATCTACCGGACGGAAGCCCGGGCCGATGGCGGCACCCTAACAACATCGACAACATGACCTTGTTCAGCAGGGGCGGTACTATCGATGGAGAGAGCTCCCATTAGAGGGGTTTCAGACAGCAAAGTAGCAACAACCACGTGGACAACGACGCATTCACTGCCAGAGTCAAGGCATGTCATCCACACCTGGAAAGCAATCGAACTGCGCCGATTCTAGGGTCGCCGTATGCCCTGTGCCTACGTTGCAGTTTACACCGGTTTTCTAAAGCATGACGTGCCTTGTGTCTGGAAATGGCAAGACGGCAACCTCGGGCGGAAGTTTCGATTCCAACCCGGCCGGAAAAAGCTGGGTTGGACCCGCTTCGTTTGGGAGTGGCCACAGCGGACTCTGCACATGTTTAGGCTTTAGGCTAAACGATATTACACGTCTGGGATAAAATCTTACCTTGGGCGTGAGAGGGCTGCCAATAACATGAACGAAAGACAGCATCCGGCATGAACCCCGGTCCACCAAAAGGCGTCAATTTGGGGGCGTCGCTCCTCTCTCAATCGGACCAAGTCGTATGCATGCCAGTACGAGCACAAGGGGCTTAATGGTTCAGGACACGACGTCACGCGAAACAAAAAAAGACTGCTGCTGCACCGCAAAAACTCCGCAAGCGGAAGGATATTTCCCCAGCCAAGGCATCCCCATGCACCTGTGTCTACGGTGGCGCACTTGCTTTTCTCCATTGCGTACAGCCAATCGTACTCCAAGAACGGCGACTCGTTTGGTCGCAAAAGTCCGTCCCATGATTCCTTCGGAATACCCTGTGCAACCATGGCGGACAAAAAAATGGGTTTGTGGCTTTGGTTGCAGAACGGTGTGGTTGGCGGGAAAAAATCTTATATTTTGTCAGATTGCTGAAAGGTAGCACCAAGTCGACGACCTTGCCTTGCCCTTCAAATAGATATGCATACGAGGTTCAATCCGTAACAATTGACGGGTGTTGCGCAGCATGTTCGTGCCCCGACAACAGGCCAACAGACAGAGTTCGATCTTGTTGCACAAACGATGGAACTACACGTACATCTACAGCAAAATCGACGAAAAGCTCGCGCCTACGACCGAAAATATGCATACACCCTCCTATTGGAAGAAGTCTTTTATTAGCATCGACCGCACTAATCGTCTGCTGGCCAATGAAAAGACGTCAGTCTTGGTGCGGTTGAAAACACAAAACACTTGTTATCTGCCATGAACTGGGACCCCGTGAGGGGGTAGCATGTCTGTGTGTGTGCAAGTGTGGATTGTACCACATATAAGCTTTATTAGCCGTGAGACTACAGCAACATACAGCAGTCATCGCTATACACACATATACACACACCCCGTGTCGTCCTCCCGACTTAAGCAGAGAGATCCAGCACACAGAACTGATGAGATACATGAGCTGAATGCATGTGATCTGTATGTGTTCCGAGCCGAGTTCCTAAAGTCATTTTCCGTCTTCCGTCTCCTCATTTATTTCCGGAAGAAAAAATTCTCGGAATATCCTGCAAGTTGCCGTTCCTCTGACATTTTTGGGAGAGATGGGATGCTTGCCCGCGCCGTCGCACGCACATATTGCAAGTTAGCAGTGTTGCATAGCCGCCGTCCTTAGCACACGATGGGCACATGATGAATGGCGCAAAAGCGTAACATTTGGTAGTAAGCAGACATGTGCGGGCTATGCATAGGTGGTTGCTAGATCAATTGTAGACATGTTCCGAGTATGGTGATAAGTTCAAGTTCCCAAAAACACCCCGAAGACAATTTCGTCTAGTAAGATCGCTTGTTCTTTACAGTCCCGAGCGGAGGGGCAGAGCCAACCCTCAACGCCTAGCGTGAGCAGGGCGCGCGGCTTGGCCTTGGCGGCGGCTGCTTCGTCTTGCTTGCGCTGCAGGGGGGAGGCCTTGGACAGGGTGTTCATGACTTACTTGCTGTTCGGTGGCTGAGGCTGTGTGTAGCGTACATCGGTGAACTTGTTCCATGATTTTGGAAACTCCGAAAATGGATGTCTCAAATTCTTTCCGATGACATTATATTAAGGCCGACATCACGACAGAAGGATTTCAAGAACACACGCCTGTCCTTCTCAAGGTCACAACACAGCTTGCCGCACGAACACGCAATCCCTGCATGACTTACCGGCAACACTGCCCACAGCACAACCTCAACGCGCCGCATACCGGCACCACGTCTCACAGCAAAGTCGCATGCCTACAGTGCCGTGCCCAGAGCCATTAAAAAATAGACGATTGCGACATGCTCAATCAAACGCAATGTACACACCACAGGCACTCTCCCGGCGTTTTGTGCATCAAGAATATTTCAAAAAACGGTCCACCAATCGGATCGCTGATTCTTTGATTGGAGCGACAGTCCCGAGCGGAGGGGTCCGAGGTAGAGAGAAAAAGCGCGACGACGTGGTTTTGGGCCGTCCCGCCGGCGCGTGCAGCTCTCCCGTCGCTGGACGCCCGGAGCCCCGAGCGGCGGCGTCTCGCTGAGAGGGGACTCCCGGCGGGCTCCGCGGAGCGGGAGGCCGAGCGGCGGCCCCTGCGTCGCGCGCCAACATTTGACGCTATCTTGTCGACTTGAGAGTAGGCGCAATCCCGCCGCTTCGCTCTCAGGCACCGAACGGAGGCCTGCGGTGCGCCCTCAGCCTGAGCTAGAATTCCCTACCTCTATACAGTACTAACATCATGCCTCGTAGTTCTTGCAAGAAAATGCCACTTGCCTTTTTGAACACTGAATCAGGACAAAGCGGGGGAGAGCGATTGCGCAATGCATACTACTTTGGAATAATCGTTCGCTTCTCTCTTCGCGTGGCGATCCTCACTGAGGACAAAACAATATAAGTCGATTAGTCCATATAGACTGACGGCATGCATGCACGCATGACCCCGGCGGCATAGTTATCGCCAGGGCGTGGTGACGCCGCTCCGGTATCCGCGGCGGCAACACGCGGTCGGGGGAAGAAGACGAAGGCGTGGCCCTGTGTATGCCGCCGGAACCACGCCCTCGTCTTGTTCCCCCGGCGGCGGTGTTGCGGCGGGGATACTGGAGCGGCGCCTTCACGCCCTGGCGGCGGTAATGCCGCCGGGGTCACGCCTTCGTCTTGTTCCCCCGGCCGTGGCGTTGCGGCCGGGGATACTGGAGGTAACTACAGCGGAGTATATTTGTCGATCATCAGCTGCAAATAGCACTTCGACACAGACTACAGGCACGAAAGCGCACGATAACTTTGCGTACCTAAAGGTAGCCAGCGTTCCTCGCCTATACATGCGAGATAAAAATATGTTCCACACAGACCA